GGTCCGCCCTTACAGTGAACGCACATTACTCTGTATCGACCACCAAGATTACAGACCCTCAACAGGTCAGAGGTTCCCCGGACTTAGCCAAACCGACTGAATCACAACAGCCTTGATATCATCACATGGCTGAAAAATGTAGGAAATGCTAAACACAACACCTTCCAGTCCCAGCCCCCAAACCCATCGACACCTTTTATCAGGAATTCCAGGGTATCTTCCTTGAGGCCAGGATCTACACTTCGAAAGTGACTAAGAAGGAAAGAAAGTGCGGGAGTGAGACAGGAGCCTGCAGAGCCCATTCTCATAGGTCAGGTCTAGGGAATCTAACATGTGAAAACACTCATGGAGTTGCCCAATAAATACGGAAGCTGGACAAATGCTCACTACAGATGTCAGCACCCACAGCCAATTATCAGAACCTGTCATTTGGAATTTCAAAACTAACATGCAAAAAAATAGAAATAAAAAACCACCGAAGTAGCCTCCGGTTCTTTCAGCAGTCCCCGCTGCGTACTCCACTTACTGTAAAATGCTGTAGACTGTATCAAAGTGCTCCAGCATAGCCAGGGGTCCCCGCGCTCGGAAGGCTGACTGAAAGGCTAGGAAATGAAGGGTGTGCTTTATTTAGAGGAAAGAGGACTTTTTGGTAAATTTTATTTCTATGCAGAAGGCATTTGGTTGACATGTTTCCTGAATCTTCAGTCTTTGTCTTTCATGATCTTGTTTTGTTTTGCTTTGTTGTTTTTTTTTTTAAACTTTTGTCTTTTTGAGACAAAGTTTCTCTGTGTAGCCTTCCTTGGCTGTCCTGGAACTCAACTCTGTAAATCAGGCTGGCCTCGAACTCACAGAAATCCGTCTGCCTCTGTACTGGTGTGATTAAAGGCAAACGCCACCACTGCTTGTCCAGGTTTTGTGTTTTTTTTAAACACATGGTTCTGTTCTATAGACCAGGCTGGATTTGAATTCCTGTGCTTCCTGGAATGCAGGGATTACAGGCATGCGCCACCACTGCCCGGCTCATCAATTGTATCAAAAGGGAGATGATAAGTCTGATATGGTGGTATACAGCTAGCTATAACCTCAGCAACTCAGGAGGCTGAGGCAGGAGGATTAAGGCTTGCAACCACCAGCTGTTGGTGGTACACCCCTTTAATCTCATCACTTGGGAGGCAGAGGCAGTTGGATCTCTGTGAGTTTGAGGCCAGCCTAGCCTATAAATAGAGTTTTAGGACAGCCAGGGATGCACAGAGAAATCCTTGGAGGTGGAGGGGGCGGGGGAGTTGATACCAGAGAGACCTGTCATTAAGCAAAATCAAAACCACAAAACAAGGAAAGAGGCAATATCTTAACACTGATCGCTCGGCAGTGTTGCCACTTCTCCGTATTTTTTTCTCCTTTATATAACCATTCAGTCAACAAAGGACTGCACACATGACAAGGTCAGTGATGTAGCAGCCACCTACTCTATGATGTTTACACAATTTACACAATAACAAAATTGCCTAATGACACAGGTCTGAGAATATATCCTGCTAAACTACATGTGACAGTATTTTGTGGAAAAATAAGTTTGAAATTATGCTACTCCCTTGCTTCAATCACATTTTTGGTAAGGCAAGCATCTGTAGAATTTTCTTGCCTGATATAAACATTACTGTGTTATTTTCTATTTCCATTACTGTTTGTAAACCTGCTAATGTGAATCTTATGTAAGAAAAGGTTGAGGGTCAGGTGGGCGTGGTGGCACACCCTTTTAATCCCAGCCCAGAGGAGGCAAAGGCAGGCTCTTCTTTTGGAGGGGTGATAAGGCTTCACAAGGTCCATCAGGCTGGCCTCGAACCCAGAGGTCTGCCTGCCTCTGCCTCTGCAAGCACTGGGATTAAAGGTGTGCACCACGCCTGGCTCATTACATTTTCACATACAAGTATCATGTACTTTAGTCACACTCACCACATTTTGTCATGAACACTTTCTTACCTCCTCACACCACAAGATGGCCCAGGGCTACTTTATATTTCCCTTGGCTTGGTACTGGAATCAACCTTTGTTGTTTGTTTGTTTGAGACAAGGTTTCTCTGTGTAATAACCCTAGCTCTACTGGAACTTGCTCTGTAGACCAGGCTGGCCTTGAACTCAGGGGTCCACCTGCCTCTCAATTGTGTGTGCCACCACTACGCAGCTAGAATCAACAATTCTTGGAGTCCTGGCTCACTGTATAGGAGAACAGTTTATAAAAATCCAAGCTCTAAGCACTGGATAGATTCACTGTTGCTCCTGGCCGGTAGCCCCAGTCACTAGGGAGGCTGAGGCAGGAGGATTGAAAACTCAAGAGCCTTACTGGACTACAAAGTGAATTCAAGGCCAGCCAGTGCAACTCAACAAGACCATGTCAAAGGGAGGCTGGTGATGTAACTTGGTAAATTACTTATCTGCTACATGCAAAGCCCTTGGTTCAATCCCCAGTCCTGAAAAGAGAAACCAACCCAGCAGATAAGAAGGAGGGGCAGGAAGACCAGGAGTTCAAATTCAGCTACATATTCAATTTGAGACTGATCTGGGTTATACGAGTCCTAGTCTCAAAAAAGAAAGAAAAAGCACAAGACAGAAATGCCTTTTCCCATTTCTGCCACCTCCAATAGGAGAGAAACTGGAGTCACTAAGCATCCCTGCTACTGTCAATGATTAGATGAACTGGGTTGTTTGTCTTTCTAGAAGAGGAAACCAAGACATACAGAGAAGTAACTTGTTCCAGATAAGACCAGCCGAGAAGTCAAACCCAAGCAGACTGGCTCCAGCAGCTTTGGTCTATATGTACTTCCCTAAGCAACCCAGCATGAACCAATTCCAAGAAGTACAGAAGCACTGTGGAGTCTTACTGATAATATACAAGTTGTTTCAGTCTTTCAGGAGGGTTCCACACTGTGCATACAATCACAGGCCACACCGTCAGTGAAGAGTCACATATATGGTATTCCTACTCGATAATGGGACTGAAAACTTACTATTGCCTAATGATGTAACCATTGTTACATTTACACTATGCATCTGTAAGGTTTGTGGTACAAACACATTCACTCTGCACTTCAAATTCTATTAAAGTATGGCACAGACAGTTGTGAACAGTATCATTCTTGGTAATAAAGGACTATATTCTTAGCTATGTAATTGCTGTTATTTAGGGTGTATTTCTACTTATATATTTACTATAAAATGCTAATGTTGTGTTACTCTAACAGCAGCCTCATACATCTTCTATTTTTGTTGTTGTTGTAGGAATTTAGCAGTCACTGTATTCAGGGTTGACATTAGAATGAACAGCTGTTTTTTTTAATAAGTGCTTTGACCTTGAAGAATCCTTGTGGAAAACAGTGATTGTTTTGCTGAAGGGACATTGTAGCCATCCCATGACTTTGGACACAAGACGCCTCAGGCACACCTGAAGCTTTTGTATTACTGTGTATTGCAAAAAACACATAATATAATAAAGGACTAGAGTCATGGGAGCACATGACGAGACGCTCTCCTTTAATAAGACACTTAATTAGATTAGGGACCTTGGTATGAAGAAATACTTCGTGTAACAATTTACCAGGGCTTTACATTGGTTCATAATAAGGGGTAAAAATACGAAACCCTAGTGTAACTGGGTTACGTGAGACTGTTTCTTGAATAGCTCAGGGAGGACAGTCCAGTACATTTCCTGCCCTGATGGAGTGTCACAGAACTGCAGACCAGAAACAATATAATTCCATAGAGGATGTTTGTCTCTTGAAGCTCACTGGTAGCCATGAGTCTTACCTCTAAGCTGGGATGGAAGATGCTTGATAGGCAATACCTCTTGAACAACATACTGATTCACACCTCCGCTTTTCAGCAACTCCTCTGGAGATAAGGGCAGATGAAATTCGAAGTTTTGGGGAGACATCCTTCTCCCACCGGCTCACAGGCCTAGAAGGCAAACAGCAAAAAAGTCAGTCTAAACCAGAAATTCTCAACCTTCGTGCCTCGATTCCTTAACAGGAGTTTCCTAAGATCATAAAAAAAAAGATTTATAACAGTAGTAGCAAAATCATAGTTATGAAGTATCAATGAAATAATGTTACGGTTGGAGTCACCACAACATGAAGAACTATGTTAAAGGCATTTAAGTCAGGCGGTGGTGGTACATGCCTATAAATCCAGCTCTTGCCTGAGGCAGGATTGCTGAGTGGCTGCAGTGAGTACGAGGCTGTCAAGGGCTATCTCAACAAAACAAAAAAATTAAATATTAATGAACTATTAAGTGACAATCAGTGTGTACAAACAGCCTTGTTGCTTCCATTTTAAAGGGAGAAGATCTTTAGAGAACGCCTCGTTCAGCATTGGGGTTCCCGGATGCACGAGGAACACTAACATCTATTTATTCATCCCGTGTCTGCTTCTGTACTCTCCTAATCTCGGTCTCACGGGACGCGTAACGAAACAAACTTATAGACTGGGTAGTAAGGTTACGGCGATGTGCCCATTCCACACGTTCCATGTCTGGTCTGTCACACTCACTGCCACATTAGATTTCAAGGACATCCGTAGCAGACATCGCTGCCGACGGCACACTGGCACAGGCTGGCTCACGTCCCGCACCCGACTCTCAGCCTTTCACTTCCCGCTTCCCATCCGTACCACACCTCACCTGGACGCCTGGACACCGCTCACCCGCCGCTTCTTCGACTGGGGTCGACCGGCAGAAAAGGGAGGAAGAAAACACGGGGGGGGGGCACAATACGCGCCAAACACCGAGATCGTTTTCAAGCTGGCGAGCAAAGCAGCCAATCCGCGGCAGGCTGAGACGGAAACCCGCCTCGGAGTCGGGCGTGGCGCTCGCAGAGCCCGCAATTCCGAGTTCAAACCTCAACGGCTGCAGGGAGGCCAATCGTGACGCGCCTGCAGAGGCCGGCCAATCACAGCGCGGGAGGCGGGCCCAGCGGGCGGGGCGGGGCCAGCGGGCGGGGCGGGGCCCAGGGGCTCGGCTCTCTCGGGGCTCTCCGCGGTGATCCGTCCCTGCAATGGTGACCCGCTGTCCTCCCGCAGGCCCGGAGGCAGAGCCAGGCTGTCTGACCCAGCCCAGGTTTTACCATGCGACGCCCCGCCAGCCACCGCGCCCCGTAAACTGAGAGAAAGCACTGTATCAGCAGAACCCTGTTGCGAGGCGCAAGGGGACCCTGCCGTAGCGCCGGGCTCCCATCCTCCACTCCCCTCGCAGTTGAGGACGCCTAAGGAAACAGGAGAGGGTTTACTTCTACGGTTATGTTTGAGGGCGTCCTAGTCTGCGACAAGAAACGTGCCGCGGCGGTAGAAAAAATTTCCAGTGCACAAACCGGAAGTATCTGAGCTGGGCGCGCTGGATAGGCCGGAACTTGAAGGGCGGAGCTTGTGGCTGGGGCAGTGCGCGCCAAGGCGGGTCTGCTCCCAAAGCTACCTGGGTAAAGGCCCAAGATGGCTCCCGTGACTGTCAGGGCCGTGTGAGACCCTGCTGAGACCGTGTCCTTTGAAACCCACACTTGGTCCCCATTTTCCTGGCTGGTTTGGTGCCCTATTGAGGTGGACAGGCATGGCAGGGAGTCTTCCGTGGGTGGCAAGTAGGAGCCTGTGGGGCTTGCTGCCCTTGGCGTGCAGAAACTTCTCTCAGGGTAAGTGGGTAGTGCGTGGAGGAGACGAGCCGCGGACGGCTTGTGAGTGGGCAGCGCCGGTTCAGTCTCTATCCCTTCCATTCCTAGGTGTTCCACTATTGACCCGCGTCAGGCTTACTCTCCCAGCCCCCAGAGTGGTTGATCGCTGGAACGAGAAGAGGGCTCTGTTTGGTGTATATGACAACATCGGAATCCTGGGTAGGACTTGATTCCTAGTTTCGGAAGGACTATTGTGCTCTGTCGACTATTTTGTTTTTGTTTGCGTAGAGAATAGCGATGTGCTCAGGGCAGCCTTGGCACAAGCTGGAGCCTAAGGCAGGCAAGAGACCAGGCTGCGTTGCAGAGAATAGTGTGGGGCCCAGTCCTACTAATGCAGCTCGTTGTGTGCTGTTCTGAGTGCCCAGAGCTAGGAATAGTGGTGTCAGTGTTTGAACCCCAAACATTCTGGCTACAAAGTCTTGATTTTTTTTAAAGGTGTGTGTGCGTGCACACGCTTGCCTGTTTTACCATATGTACTGCTTACTGTTCAAGAAAGGCCTCATGTACAGGGAGTCAGGCTTCCCCCAGAACTGGCCTTGCAGACAGCTGGCAAACCTAACTGCTGAGCCCCAAAGAGTGTACTTTGTACTATTATGTGTGTGTCTTGTCTGTAAGTCCTGCCCAGGGAGACAGAACTGGGCTGAAGGCTTAGCTGGCCTTGCTGCCTTCTCCTCTCTTGAAACTAACACATTCTCTCCTCACATTACAGGGAATTTCGAAAAACACCCTAAAGAACTGATCAAGGGCCCAGTATGGCTTCGAGGCTGGAGAGGAAATGAATTACAGCGTTGTATCCGGAAGAAGAAAATGGTTGGAAACAGAATGTTCACCGAGGACCTGCACAACCTTAACAAGCGAATCCGATATCTCTACAAACACTTTAACCGGCATGGGAAGTACCGATAGAACAGAGAACACGAAACTCCAGAAGAGAGACACACTTGTCACCCTGGAGAAGGGGAACAGGACTTGCCCTTTCAAGGAAAGAGCTCAGTGTGCTCTCTGTAATAAAATGGGCCTTTTTGGAATGTGATATGCACACTGTATGTTCCTCACAATGCTGCTTCTACTCATTCATTCAGACTGAAGTCTGCGTCCCTAAGTTGTGGGGTCTTCTATTAAGACCTTATTTACAGTTCAATTATACTTTTGTCAATTAGAATCATTTATTGTTGGCACTGACGTTGTTCCTTTTTTTTTTTTTTTTTATGTAATCATAGAGACAAAACCCAGGGGCTTTCTTGTTCTAGAGGAATACTCTGCCATTGAGCTACCAGGCCTCTTGGAAATGTAACGATGCTGTTGTTTCTAAATACCACTCTCATCAATTAGGTTAACTAACCTGAGTGAAGATGTGTTTCAGAGGGTGACCTTGAACCACATCCAGTTTTATGCAGTGTTAGAAACCACACCAGGGGACTGGAGAGATGGCTCAGATGTTAAGAGCATCGGCTGCTCTTCCAGAGGTCCTGAGTTCAATTCCCAGCAACCACATGGTGGCTCACAACCATCCATGATAAGAGCTGGTGCCCTCTTCTGTCATGCAGGAATACATCACATAATAAAATAAATCTTAGCCAGGCGTTGGTGGCGCCCGCCTTTAATCCCAGCACTCGGGAGGCAGAGGCAGGCGGATCTCTGTGAGTTCAAGGCCAGGCTCTACCGACAGCCTCCAAAACAGAGAAACCCTGTCTCGTAAAACCAAAAAAAAAAAAAAAAAAAAAATCTTAAAAAAAAAGAAAAGAAACCACACCAGGATTTCCTATGTTCTAGGCAAGCATTCCACCAACTGTACTAGTACCTCCTTTAAAGTTTTTGGGGTGGGGCAGGATTTTAGTAATTCTGGCCTAGAACTCACTATACCCAGCAGGCTGGCCTCTTGTAAATGGACGTTTCTCTGCCTCTGCCTTCTGGGTGCTGAGGTAGCTGTGTGTGCCACCACACCTGGTCTTTCTCACCTTTTTTATTTTTATTTTTTTATTTTATTTATTTATTTATTTTTTTGGTTTTTCGAGACAGGGTTTCTCTGTATTGTTTTGGAGGCTGTCCTGGAACTCGCTCTGTAGACCAGGCTGGCCTTGAACTCACAGAGATCCGCCTGCCTCTGCCTCCCGAGTGCTGGGACTAAAGGCGTGCGCCACCAACGCCCGGCTTCTCACCTTTTTTAATACATGCCAAGTGCCATGTGAGAGCACAGGGAGGGGAGGCTGAGTTGCTCCTCAGAAGCTACAAAAACTCCTCGGTAGATGTGAAATGAACTTGTTTCCTGGATATTTGTAAGCACCAGGGTTATGAGAGAGATGTGCAGATGAAAGTAAAGCACTTGGAAGCATGAGTTGGCTTCTTTAAGGGACGGATGTGTATGATAGTGCTGATATCTTGAATATACTGGGTACTTGTGCCACAGTAAAACATACCCTCTGCCTGGGTTTTGTTTTTGTTAGAATATATTAATTGTAAAAGATTCACTGTGACTTTTTTCTTTTTTTTTCCGGTTTTTGGAGACAGGGTTTCTCTGTATTGTTTTGGAGGCTGTCCTGGAACTAAGCTCTTTGTAGATTAGGCTGGTCTCGAACTCACAAAGATCCTCCTGCCTCTGCCTCCCGAGTGCTGGGACTAAAGGCTTGCGCCACCAACACCCGGCTGACATTTTTCTTTTGTTTATTTTGTTGAGGCAGGGTCTCTACATAATCCTGGCTGTCCTTCAACTCACTATGTAGACCAGGCTAGCCTTGAACTCATAGAGACCAACCTGCCTCCTTAGTGCTGGTTTTTAAGACTTGTGGCACATGCCCAGTCAATATGACACTTTTCATACATTTTTTTTAAATAAAAATCACTTTGATGAGCATTCTAGAAATTACAAAAAGATAATCCAGGGAATTTTTTTTTTAAGGTTTTTTCAAGACAGGGCTTCTCTGTGTGGCTCTGGCTGTCCTGGAACTCATGCTGTAAACCAGCTTAGCCTGGAACTCTCACAGATCCGCCTGCCACTGCCTCCCAAGTGCTGGGATTAAAGGTATAAGCCACTACCTCCTGGCTCAGAGGAATTTTTCTTGCATACTTTCATGCAAGCTATTTTTGTTTTGGTTTGGTTTTTGGGACAGAGTCTGGGGTTGGAGAGATAGCTCAGCAGTTAACAGCCATCTTCCAGAGGACCCACAGCTGTTTAGCTCCAGTTCCTGGACTCTATGGAGACCAGGCATGCACATGGTATCATGGTATGCAGACATACATGCAAGCAAAAAGTGAGTCTAATTCAAGCTCAGGCTGGCTTGGAATGCTTTTTATTTTTATTTATTTTTTTGGTTTTTGGAGATAGGTTTCTCTTTGTAGCCCTGGCTGCGCTGTCCTGGAACTAACTCTGTAGACCAGGCTGTCCTGGAACTCATAGATATCTGCTTGCTTCTGCCTCCAGAGTGCTGGGATTAAAGGTGTGCACCACCACTGCCTGGTTTAGGGTGATTGTCTTATTTAAATTGTTAAGTCTGTGTCAATGAGCTTTCATTGAACAGCAGTCCATTCTGAAATGTGATGACTGAAAACAATCCATTTTCTCTGGGTTTTCTTGTTCAGCTAGTTAATTCTGTTTGTTGTCATGAGGCCATATATTCATCAGTGGGCTTCCCTAGAGCTAGTATGTCTAAGACATCTTCATTCATGTTTACTGAGCCAGATGATACCTGAGGATTTTTTTTGAGAACCAAATTGGGGCCACTGCAAGAATAGGGAGTGCTCTTAACGTCTGAGCCATCTCTCCAGCCCCAGCTGAGGTTCTTTTTGTACAAATTTTTATTATTTTAGTCTCTCTTGGACTTGTTTACTTAAAGACTTGATCCCGAATGGCAAAAATGGAGTGACAAGGCTTGATAAATGAGACTAAGTCATGGTGTCAACAATCTTGGTAGCTAGCCGGACATTGGTTGCGTACGCCTTGAATCCCAGCACCCGGGAGGCAGAGGCAGGCGGATCTCTGTGAGTTCGAGGCCAGCCTGGTCTACAGAGTGAGTTCCAGGACAGGCTCCAAAACAATACAGAGAAGCCCTGTCTTGAAAAACCAAAAACAAAAAAACAAAAAACCAGTCTTGATAGCAAACACCTTTGATTCCTGCACTTGGGAAGCACAGGCAGATCTGTCAGTTTGAGGCCAGCCTGGTCTACATATCCAGTTAAGGCTACACAGTGAAAACCCATCTTTTAAAAAAAGTAGAAAAGGAAGAAGAAAATGTTTTAATAGAATCTATGATTGTCAGTGAAGAGGGAATTAACAATTCAGCTCCACCAACCTATATAAAATTCTTCCTGCTGTAAGATACAAAAGGTCTCATTTTCAAACACAAAGCTGTATTGTTTCTGGTACAGAACAGTATGCAATATTTTCCTTCAATAAACACTGAATCATTGTTAAGGACCTTGGAGGCATACAAACCACAAAGACAGAACAATCTGCCTGCACACTGTATATAAACAAGATACACAGTTGAATATGGTAATTCCACAGGAAAAGTAGAGTTGCGTGAGGTGGGTTGTTTTTTTTTTTTTTTGCCTTTCTAGGGGGTCAGAATGTGTGTACACGTGTGTGTGTGTGTGTGTGTGTGTGTGTGTGCATGCTCGCGAATGTGTGTACAAGGCACAAAAGTTACTGAAACTGAAGCTTGTTTAAAAAGAAGAGAAAAAAGAAATTGGAAACCTTCCCTGCAGTCATGGTGTAGCTTTGCCCTTGTTTGGGGTGGATCTTGTATCTGTTGAAACTTTAATGGTGAGGGCTGTCCACTGATGAGAGGAACGATCTTGAAGACGAAGAACGGATCATGGGAAAACACCTTACAGGGCAGTGGGAGAGAGGCTGAAGTGGGTAAATTGTAATTCTCCCACTTGAGCAGTTTCTTGTCTGTTCAGCGATGTGCACATCACATCACCATAATTGGTTTTAAAACATTTTTGTCATCTCTCCCGAGGTCACAGCTTCCACTTACCCTTCCCTTCCACAACCGGCCAACTACTGCACCCCTGTTCTCATGTAGTATGGGTATCTCATGTAAAAAATTATCATTAATGGATGACCACTTGGGACTGGTTTTTGTTTTTCAACTCAGCAAGGGTCATCTATGCTCTAATGTACTAATAATACTTCATTCCTCTTTGACACCAAGTAACAGTCCATTGTATGGAATTATATGATTTACCTACTTCTCAGTAGACAGACATTTGGGTTATGACCAATTTTGGCATATTCTAAATAGTACTATGAACATTTGTGTGTTGGTTCAGGCTAAGGGATATTCAGGCCACAGTCCCCTTCAGCTGCCCCTTCTGTCTTTACTCTCACAGATTCCGTAAAAGCAGAGGCAGGGGCGATATCGTGACTGTCTGTGACTCTGAAATTCTCATTTCCCGAAAGAAAGTTTAACAAGGTCTCAAAGCTTTCAGGGGCCGTAAGTGACACTGCTTGTCTTAAATTATTTTTCCATTGCTGTGAAGAGTCCTAACGACCAAGGCAACTTACAGGAGAAAGAGTTTACTGGGCCTGACTACAGTTTCAGAGGATTGGAGTCCATGACCACCGTAGTGGGAAACATGGAAACAGGCGGGTAAGCATGATGCTGCTGCAGCAGCTGAGAACTTGCATCTAGTGCACACATAGGCAGAGAGAGAGAGAGAGAGAGAGAGAGAGAGAGAGAGAGAGAGAGAGAGAGAGAGAGAGAGCCAACTAGGAATGGTGTGGGTTTTTGAAACCTCAGAGCCCACCCCTAGTGACGCACCTCCTCCAACAAGGCTACACTTCCTAGTCCTTCCCAAATAGCTCTACCAACTGGTCACCAAGCATTCCAATACATACGCCTATGGGGGTCTTCTCCTTCAAACCACCACACCTCCCACAGGATGGGCACACAGTCACTAAAGGACCAAACCTTTTCCACTTCCCATGCTACCCAGGAACCAGAGAGCACCTGACTCTCATACTATTGGCTACTAATCAACTGTAGACAAAGGACCTCCCCACACCTCTGAAACCTGTAAGAGGAGCTCCAG